CTACAGATCCTTCCAGCTTTCTCCTTAGACTCAGCCATGAGCCGCTGGGAAGACATCCTGGGCCATTGGAGCCTGCTTCTGCCCAGAGCTCTTTCATCTTCTCCTAGGTGAGACGGCCTGTACTCTGCTTTAGGGTCAGATGAGCTCATGCTTTTACACAGGAAAGGGAGGTCACTGAGGTGGCTGAGCTCCTGACATAGTGGAAACCGGGCACAATCAAAATGTTACCCAGTTTTGCCAGAGTGAACTCAACTAGATGCTCTGGACCTGTTAAAACAATCCAAACTGTGCCAGGGGACTCTGCCCTTGGGCTTTCTTCGACACTTTTCTGGAATCCTAAAGAGCCTGCCAAGCTCCTAGGAACATGCACCAATTGCCAATTGCACCTGAGGAAGCCTGGATGGGGCAGAGACCCAAAAGTCCTACGGAAGTTGCAGGGGTTGCTTCTGACCTGGCTGGGCTCTGAGACACCATCTCTTATACTTTAATCTTGGATCTTGTCACATGTCATCTTTTTTGATAGTTTTTTTTTCCTGTTTTGTTTTGATGAGACAGGCCCTCAGATCACTCAGATGGGCCTTGAACTCACTATATGGCATCTAACTCATGGTCATGGTACTCCCAGCTTTCAAAATGCTGAGATGACAAACACATAGCACCGTGCCTGGCTTTGTTTAGGTGTGTGTGTGTGTGTGTGTGTGTGTGTGTGTGTGTGTGTGTGTGTGTGTGTGGAGACCACAGGTTGATGTTGCTCTCTCTTACCCCCATCTCCCCCATGCTGGGGTTATGGGTGTTCACAGGCACACCTGGCTTTTTTATTTTATTTTATTATTTTAATTTTAAATAGCTTGCTTCACATGTCAATCCCAGTTCCCTCTCCCTCCCCTCCTCCCGCACCCCCTCACCATCCCCCCCAGCCTCCCACCCTATCGCCATTTCCTTCCACATAGGGGATATCTAGAGTCAGTCATTTCACTCAGGGTAGGGTCCAGGCACTCCCCTAAGAGTCCAGGCTGAGAGAGCATCCCTCTTTGTGTTATGGACACATGATGTCTGTTTGTATTCCAGGGATAAACACTGATCCACTGCTCAGGACCCCATAGGTTGTCCAGGCCTCTTCACTGACTCTCACACTCAGGGGGTCCAGATCAGTCCCATGCTGGCCTCCCAGCTGTCAGTCTGGGGTCCAAGAGCTCTCCCCTGTTCAGATCAGCTGTCTCTGCTGGTTTTGCCAGCCCATTCTTTGCCAATTTGCTCATTGCTCCTCTCTCTCTCTGTCACTACACCTGGCTTTTTGACATGGGTACTGAAGATCGAATTCAGTTCCCATGCCTGTGCAAACACTTCACCCACAGAGCCATCTCCCTAGTTTCTTGTTTAACTTTTACTTGCCTTAAGTTTGCCTTTCCAAAAACGTTTATAATGTTCTTCAAAATAACCTACCTTTGACTCAAATGTATATTTCCGTGAAGGCAGGAGTGTGTGCTTTCTGTTTTATTGCACCTGAAGGTGAACTCATAAGCTTTAAACTGGAAAACTTAGATGTGATCATCTTTGTTTATCACTGGTGTGGCATTATCATGTGCAGAGATAAATCACTTGCAACAGTGGGTGGGAGCGATCAACCCAAACCTTGGGTTTGAACTCTTCGGCCCCAGTGGCTGCTTTAGCTGCATAAGCACCTGAGACCGTGAAACAGGGTCAGGTGGTTTGGGGACGACATTTTAAAAGTAAAGAGCACCTTCCCTCACCCTGCAGGCTGCTCGGGAGCCGAGGATCCTACCCCAGGCCAGGACACCAAAGCACTCTCCACAGAAGCTACAGTCAAATGACTTTTTCTGGAGGGTGGCCACTAATTTGTAAAAAACCCTGCAGTGGCTAGAGACTAGAAAGAAAAAAAAGTCTCAATTCCCTGCAGACTCCAAGGTTGCTTGTTTACAAAGTCAAACATCCCTGGTGAGTCGTTTCATTTATAATTAAATCTAATAATAAGCCATTGTGGCTAAATTAATTTTGAGCTAATTACATGGGAACTCCATGTCGTGTATAGCTTCTGAAATAGAGTCAGGTGTCAGGTAGTATGGTACATTCCAAGGCCAAAGCCTCCAGGGACTATTCCAGAAGGCATGTGAATAAATACTATGTTAAGAGACTGATATTCGGCAACCCTGCAGGCCAGAGACACTTGCATGATGGCTTTGGAGTACTCTGGAAGCTGAGTAGGGATGACTTTCTGTACATACACCTCTAGATAGTCCAGGCCTGAGCAAGGTTTTCTGATGGAACCTGACTGTCTCTGATGAGGAACCAGCATTCTAGTCCCATGGGTTTCTGAATGGACTAGTACTATGAACAGTTCATATGCCTGGACTAGGCATCTTCACAAACAGGATACCATTTCGTTCCCCCCAGTGGAAATCTTCATGGACACAGTAAATGTCAGAAAGCTCAGAGCTGGAATTTCCACCTATGCTCAGTGAGTGACCATGCTATTCCTCCCTAGAAATGCTGGCCATGAAGAACCGCTGCCCATCCAGGCAGTCCAGTAAGCGTCTCTGGTCCCGCTGAGGGTGCCTTCATTTGAGCTTCTAACTCAGTGTTGGTTCTCCACTTAGCCGATCTAAACCCTCTGGGATGACTTTATCCTTGGAAGAGAGGCCACCTTTCTCTTCTGTCCTCTCGTTAGCTGAGTGTGTCCTTTGTCTGGGTGCTGCATTCCTGCCTTTGATGTACTCGTGGAGTCATCCTCCCTGTTCATCTGCAAATTTCTCTATGTTGTGTTTATGATTTAATTCTATTTGATATAGGGTGAGTGTGCCCAGTAGAAGAAATCAGGGTTATTGTACCATGAAAGGACAAATGAGAACACCCCCATTATCTGGAATTGAGGCTCTAAAAATGTGTGCCTTACCTCAAGCAACCAACACCTGCCTGGGGGTGTTTTCAACCATCCCAGGCTAAAATACTTTCTTGGTTATGTGGCTGGTTTGGATTATTAAGATGACATTTGAAAGAATTCACAGAGAAGGTCCTTTTGGGGGTTTCAGGAATGATGCATTTTAATTTGAGTTGTTTTTCAGAACAAAGAGATTAGGTCAGTGTACCGCCCCTGTGCCCTGTGTTTCCTATTGACTTGTGAAACTATGGCCTCCTGAATGCCTTGGCCTTTCCAAGTGCCATGGGTTGTATCCGAGGCAATAAGTGAGACACTGAGTCCTGGAGAGTGAATGCTCTGAGGTGATTTGCCTGTGTCAGGGCCTGGGGCAAATGACACTTGTCTTCCAAGGCAGGGTGTCATTTCCAATTGAATATCCTGGGCATTTACCCAGCCTTCACTTTGGCACTGCTTGTGTGTTAAATGCAAAGAACATACCTTTGAATTGCTCCTAACAAGCACCCAAATTTGTGTGGCTGTTTGTTCCCAATCAAAGGAAGTTATAACATGGGTGAGCAGGGTGACAGGAGATACAGAAGGGTTTAAGATTTTGGAAAGGGCAGGAAGAGCCACCCAGCCAGGCTGACCGAAGCCGCCCCAGAGACAGGAAACGGTAAACACAGTGTGTGGAAATACTTGCTGCTCTTCCGGTCTTGTGTCTACTTTGACATCTGGTGGCTGGCACCCCCACCCCCAACATACACAAACAGTAATGATGGCTTCCCTGGGGGAAATGGCTTTTAGGTGCAAAAGAGGCCAAAAGGTCTCTATGTGGACTGATAGGGAGCTCTTCGTGGTCCACCCGGGGCTCTTCCTTTCAGCAGCCCTTGCTTTCCCTACCCCTCTCTCCTCACACAATGGACAGCAGGTTGTCACTGGCAGTCACATCTGAGAGCTGAGGTCTCTCTTGATGCCTCTCGGTGTGAACTAAGTGTGGTGGAATCTAGTTGGTGTCACTTTGCATCTGGGAAGATGGGAGGGTAGGTAGGGCTGCGTCTGTCTCTCAGCAGCTCCGTAGTCGTTAGGCGGTGGGGCTCCCTGGTCACAGTGGTTCTCCCTTCTGTCTCCTATCTGGCAGTGATGGGGCAGGGCTCCTCTGACTCACCCCAGGCTCCTCGCTGGGCTCTTCCCTTGTGCTGCTTCTTTTGGTCATGCCTGTGTTCTTCTTCCTTGTCACTTAATCTCTGCGGCTCCATCAGGTCCTGCTTGCCACTTGATTTGGACCTTTGAGTGGAGCATCTTGGAGACTCACAGACAGCCTCCTTAGTAACCTCATCCCGAGAGTCTTAGGGAAAAGAGGACCCTGGTGATTATTTGAGTTCTCAACATTTAACCTTGCTCTTTGCTTGGAGAATCAACACTGCTGCCGCCACCACTACCAGTGGGGCTGGGGCTGGGGCTGGGGCTGGGGCTGGGGCTGGGGCTGGGGCTGGGGCTGGGGCTGGGGCTGGGGCTGGGGCTGGGGCTGGGGCTGGGGCTGGGGCTGGTGTTGGTTCTGGGGCTGGTGTTGGTTCTGGGGCTGGTGTTGGTTCTGGGGCTGGTGTTGGTTCTGGGGCTGGGGCTGGGGCTGGGGCTGGTGATGCTGATGGTGTTGGTGAAGTGTCTATGTGTGGCAGTCTTCATACGGAGTCAAAGCAACCATTCAACAACACTTCATTCTCCCAGAATGCCTTGCATCTGGGCTCAAATTTTAGCAACCGACACAGGAAGAAATGGATGGTAGTGGTCAAAGTGCTGCTGAGCACACTGTTGAGACAGAAGAAGAAGGATGCTGAGTGGAGGTTCTGAGGTGCCCACTAGGCCAGGTCTGTGCTGTGATTTGATTCCCTGCTTGTGCTGTAGACCTCCATATGGTTCTCTCAGCCACCTCATGTCCTTTAGAAAGATTCCCTTTGCTCTAGTTAAGCCCAAATTGGTGTCTGTTGCTTGCTTTTCAGAACCTCGTTACAAATACCTGTCTCCTCCTGTCTCAAAGCCCACCACAGCCCTTTCTCTTCATTCTGTTTTCTTTGTGGATCTCCAAACATCCGCTACACAAGGAAAGGGAGAGAATTCCATCTGAATGCCTGAAGGGCTTTTTATGCAGCAATGACAATAGTCACTAATAACACAAGATTTTGGCTTCTTTAGTAAAAAAGTGAGCTGACAGGGTATAAATCTGGGCAAAAGCAAGTCTCTTAGAGAAGCCCATGCACACCCTAGTGCCATAGTGGAAGTGGCCATATTGTCAAGAACTTTAGCAGATGGCTCTATGTGGTCTCCAAGAGCCTTCATCAACCCAGGGTGGTCCAGCCATTGTTTGTATAGCACCAAGGGAACACAGATGGGCTGGAAAGCCTTGATAGTGGAGTAAAAGGACATTGACCTGCTTTGACCTGGCTACTGGGCAGACCACAGACAAAGGTGCAGGACTGTGGGCATCAGTGTCCGGGAGTCAGTGAGCACCAAAAATCTTCATCACAGTTACACCCTTCCTCTCAGCAGAGAATGCATCCTACCTAAATCTGGAAAGAAGGGAGAAAAAGAATAATGAAAAAATCAGAACGTGATTCCACTTTTATCCACTAGATTGAAAAAGATTTAGTAGTGACATAATGTGGATAAAGGGTTGGAGCCCAGTTCAGTTCAATGAGAAAAAAATTTTAAGTGAGTTACTCATTTGCATGAATCAGTAAAATATATGCCCTCTTTACTTCCTTTGATAGCCTTAGAACTGATGAGTGCTAGGGAAGAAGGGATGAAGATAGTTAAAAACCATCCACCTTTCAACTCAGCATCCCAGGTGGGAGGCCGGGGTAGTTAATGATAGAGCACTTGTTTACCATGCAGAAGACTCTAGGTCCAATCCTTACCCCAAATACCCCTGTTCCCCCCACCCCTACAATGTCAGGTTGTCTGAACTGTGGTTAAATCTATGAACTTGTTGTCAAGGAAAATCTCCACAAACTAGGCCATGGGTCACATAGAAAAAATAAAAAGATTCTTATTCTGGGAAATTCATTCATTTCCTGGGAAGAAGAAAATGCTTTGGTGAATTAAAACGAGTGGGATTTAAAAAAACAAAACAAAACAGAGGAATCAACACATTTCCACCTGCCTTTGCCACTTCAGACTCTGTCTCTGGAAGCTCAGGTTCCAAGATCATTGCGTGTCTATTGGAGAAGCATTCCCAAAAGATTAGCATTCTGGGGCTACCAGGCTGGGCCTGAAACCCACCCCCACCCTCGTCCCACTTCTCCTATCACGAAGGGTCTTTTTCCCGTGCCCTTTGGCTCTAGGTTATTTCAGAAGCGTCTCTTTGGGAAAGTCTGGACAAATGGCTCCGTGCTGCCTCTTGCTTTCAGACAGCTTTGGATTCTACAATAGCCAGAGTAATGTGTCCTATATGCATCTTTTGCATTCTGTACTCTGACTTGGAGCACAGACACCCCTTTTCCCATCACAAGCCTGAGGTAGGGAATTTGAGATAGTCCCTGAGCAATTTCAGTGCCAAGAACTCGCTTTCTTCATTATTTTAGGTACTTTCTTGTGTGGTTCCAGCTGCCAGTGGGCAGCTCCCCTTCCATGTCACTGTTTTGTTCACTGTATTGTCTCCTCGTTCAGAGGGCATATTCTCTAGCCTCCTCCACCCGGCGAAAGTTAGGGGTCATGGAAGCTTCCATCAAGATTTTAGAGGAGCCGGGCGTTGGTGGTGCACGCCTTTAATCCCAGCACTCGGGAGGCAGAGGCAGGAAGATCTCTGTTGAGTTTGAGGCCAGCCTGGTCTACAGAGGGAGTTCCAGGACAGTCTCCAAAACAATGCAGAGAAACCCTGTGTTGAAAAAACAAACAAACAAACAAAAAAGATTTTAGAGGAAAGGGAGCTGGAGAGATGACTCAATGGCTAAGAGCCTTATTGTTCTGCCGGAGGGCCAGATTTCAGTTCCCAGCATCCACTTGGTGGTTCACGACCTCCCGTTCCAGGAGATATGACACACGTACAAACGTGCAGTAAAATACTCATAAAATAAATCTCCAAAACAAACAGACCATGCATACAAAAAGATCTTAAAAATATTTCTAAGGAAAGAGAAATATGATTTTTCAGAGGGGAGTAAGTGCTTGCCTTGACATTAACACCTTGAGTGTATTGATGTGCTTTCTCCGTTTCATCCCCCCTTACTGCTGGTTTTGACCCATTTACCCCCAGTTGCCACTGTCTGTGAGGAGTGGCTGGAATGAAGTAGGCACTGAAGTGACAAGGAGATTCTGTTGGGGACAAAAGAAGCCCAGGGATAGTAGGACTGAAAGCAAGATTTTAAGTACAAGGTTTTGGCCTTGGTGATTCTGGCCTTAAAGTACATTTCCCTAAAATATGAAATCTTGGAGGGGGGCATGGAGCCATTGCTTCACACCACAGAATGGAAAAGGTTGCACAGCCCAGCATAGTAAACCTGGTAGACAGGACCAACCTTCCTTGTGCTGGTATGGGGGATGGGCCAGAGAGAAGAGACACCTTCAGTGGAGGAGATTGGGAGAGAAAGACTCTCTACAAAGTGGGCAGGGAGACAGTGTGAACATGTTGGGTGTGGACATTTCGGATCCCAAGGAAGGACCCAAAAGTGTGTCTTCAGTTTCTGTTTAGAAGTCCAAGCAGAGTCCCCACCTTGCCAAGGGTAGAGGGGATTCACATGCAGATAGAGTGATTTCGAGAAACAGTGGTGTGGCGCATTTAGATGGGGAGTAATCTGAGATACAGTGGACCCATTCCCCTGGGTGGGGTGGGTGAGAGCTACAACTTCCTGTGTGGGCAGGTGGCAGAGAGAGACAGTGCTAAGATGGCTGATGGAGAAAGAAGACAAGATTGCCCTGGAAGTTAAGAAAAGACCGTGGGACCCCACAGGATGACCTCTAGCTAGCTCCCACACACACTTAGTGCAAAGTCCAGGACTGCGGAGGCCTGGAGTAAGGCTTTGCTCCATATGAAATGGAAACCACCAACTGGCCATGCAGTGGGACAGGAGGACTGCTTAGAAAGGACAGAGCTCTGAACGGGACTTTGGTCCACTCAATTAAACCCTCCATTGCCTGAGTGATGATACCAAGGAGATGAAAGTTTTTAAAGAGAGAGAATTTACTTAGGAGCTGTAAAATTCCTTTCATTTGTTCGCTAGTTTATATAATTTCAGTAGAAATAGAGCTTCATGCGTTTGATTAAGTACAATTTAGAGTTTTAGCCATCCGGGTCACCATGCAGTTTAAACCTAAAGCATCACCCAGACGGATGTGATCTGAAGTGGTGTGGGAGAGACGACCTTGAGTCAGCTTAAGGGGCAGTGGTAGCAAGATCAGTGGCTGTCATTTTGCCTTCAAAAGTCGTGGGAGGGGGCATTTTCCTCAGTGCGTAGTCACTGGAAATGTGTCCATGCTCCTGTAAATAAGCTCTCAACCACGCATCTACAAGTGACCCTAATTAAATTCATTGCTTCACCCCATGACCCCCCCAACTAAAAAACCCCAAAACGTAGAAGGAGCCTATTTGGGAATCGATAGGGGGATGGGTGGGAGGGGCACAAGAGAAGGAGCCTCAACATAATCAAAATACACTATAGAGATGCACGAGCATGTCATAATGAAACTCACTATTAGATATAATTAAAACTTTAAAACAGTAAGTAAAAACCACCCTCTGGTGGGTCTACAATGTTTAAAAATCATTACAAGTCAATAATAACAGCAAAAAATAAGAACAGTCTTAATTTTTTTAACGGACATGGGAACTCCATGAGTGTTTCACAAAGAAGATGCACGCCCTGGCCAATAAGCACGTGGAAATTTATAGTCATTAGAGAACTGTAAGCCAGAGGGGTGACACTTCACCTATAGCACAGTGCATGGTGACCAGAGTGTGGAGATGGCTGCAAAGTCAAGGGGATAGGACATGCCACCGAACAACTGCTTTCGGGCTAAGCACATGGGGACCACATAACTCCACCGTCCCACTGTCGGTTACCAACCTCAAGGAAGAGAAGTTTGTGCCTACACAGGTGTGTGTGTGTGTGTGTGTGTGTGTGTGTGTGTGTGTGTGTGTATACAAGAATGTCATGGCATAAAAACACACGAAGAGTTAGTTTTTTTTAAATCGCAAAGACGGTAGAGCTAAATCAGTGAGAAAAAGCATTTGCCACGTAAACCCAACAATATGGGTTCAGTCCCTGAATCCCATGCTGGAAGGTGAGAACTGACTCTCAGAAGTTGTCCTGTGTCTTCCATACTCAGACCATGGCGTTCCCAGGGTGAACATTTACATGTGGGGATACACACACACACACACATTAATAATAGTTAAAATTTTAAAATAAAAAAGTGTTTATTGCACTCATACTCAGACACTGGAAACACTCTGGCCTGGTTAAGCTTTTATTTTTTCTTTCCCCTTTGTCAACTTGATACGAGCTAGTCATTTGGGAAGAGGAACCTCAAGTGAGAAAACGTCCCCCACCAGACTGGCCTGTGGGCAAACCCGTGGGGGCATTTTCATGATTGACAACTAATGAAAGGGCCCAGCTCACTGTGGGTGGTGCGAGTGGGTAGTTCAGAATGCTTTGAAAACGTCATGGAAAAAAACAGCAAGCAGCCTTCCTCCAGGGCCTCTGGGTTCCTGCTTCTAGGTTCCTGCTTGAATTCTTTCTCTGACTTCCCTCAGATACGGAGTATGACCTGAATATTATAGGCTGGGAGAAACCCTTCTCTCCTCTCTCTCTCTCTCTCTCTCTCTCTCTCTCTCTCTCTCTCTCTCTCTCTCTCTCTCTCTCTCTCTCTCTCGACAGGGTTTCTCTGTGGCTTTGGAGGCTGTCCTGGAACTCACTCTATAGACTAGGCTGGCCTTGAACTCACAGAGATCCACCTGCTTCTGCCTCCCAAGTGCTGGGATTAAAGGCATGTGCCACTACTGCCCCTCGAGAAACCCTTCTTGCCATGAGCCATGGTACTATTATTGCAATGATAGAAACTCTAATACACACCCAAAGGCTTGGCATCTAATGGAATGGTAGTCAGCATCACCAAGACTCATTATATCCATCACATGGATGGATCTCTAAAACAATACTGAATAAAGAGGCCAGATGCAAAGAAACACACACACACACACACACACACACACACACACACACACACACACAGAGAGAGAGAGAGAGAGAGAGAGAGACTGCATGATTCCACTTCACTTCTGTAAATCCAGAAGAAACAAAATGGAGCTATACTGATAGAAGTTCAAAAGTAGTTGGTGAGTTGGTGTGTGAGGGAATGTTCCAGAATAAGCATATTCTGTACTTTGTTTCCAGTGATGGTTACACAAGCACATTCAATTGGCCCACTCCATCCAATGGAACACTGTAGAGCTGTGCAATTTATTGTAAATAAATTACTTTTTTTTAAGTTAGTGGTTTTGCTCAATTTCTTATAGCATGAGTGTCAGCCGCAGCCTTCAGGAAGGCCTCACCCCTCCACTCCATCTCTCTGCCCACCATTGCAGACCCCTGTCTTTCCTCCCATGATCTCTAACTGCTCTAGAGTCACCTCCGGTTCTAAACCTCAGCATGCTCTAAATCATAGTTTGTGTGTGTCTTTTTCAGCAAAATACGGATGTTTTGAAACCGCTTTCCCCTCTGAAGGGGCCTCCTCCTTCCTCATTAACTCCGTCCTTGGCCATTTCATAAATTATGCAGCTCCCTCTCTTGTTTCAGTTAGAAATGCAGTTCTCTCTCTCTCTCTCTCTCTCTCTCTCTCTCTCTCTCTCTCTCTCTCTCTCTCTCACTCTCTCTCTCACTCTCTCCCCTCTCCCTCTCTCCCTCCCTTCTGCCCTCTCTCTCTCCCTCTCCCTTGCTCTCTCTCCTTCTCTCTGTCTTTCTCCCTCTCTCTTTCTCCCCCTCTCTCTCCCCCCCTCTAGCTCTCTCTCTCTCTTTCTCTCTCTCTTTCTCTCTCTCTCTCTCTCTCTCTCTCTCTCTCTCTCTCTCTCTCTCTCTCTCTCTCTCTCTCTCTTGCTCTGTCTCCGTTTCTCTGTCACACCCCCAGCCCACCTTCCTCTTTCCAGTGAGCCTCTCAGTTTCTCATCTCTGTCTTGCAGCCACCCTTGTCTTCACTTGGACTAAGGGCTCACCTGACCCCAGAAGGAGATTCTACTTGGGGCTTAGCACATTTTTAAAGGTATGTCGCTCTCTTCTAAGTTTCCTTTGCCAAGCCAGGTGGCTGCTGGGTTCCCTGCTCCAGCCTATCAGTCTGTTTGGGAAGCTCCTTTGTGGACATGGTTCCCTAGGAGATACTCTTCTCACAGGGTCTGTGCACACACTATGCAGCCAGGACAACACATCCCACATCAGCTTCTAAATCACAATGGTTTTGAGCCCTTGCCTGCTGTGCTGGAAGCATCCTGAAATCATCGTTTCCAAATATTTCCTAAGGCCACACTGAGCAGACAAGGAGCTGCCCTCGGTCGGTCGGCAAAGATGGAAGTGGAGGAGACCAAGCCTCCTGCTCTGCAGGTGGCCTCAGTGATGTCTGGGTCTTCCTGCCCTGCCTCCAAATTGCTCTTCTGAACCTCATTTGGTAAGCAGATAGCACCCTTGTCCCATCCATGCGGCTCTGTGCCCGGACTGTCCCCTCACAGCACCAAAGGCTGTCCTGGAGTCCAACCCAGGTCCTTGGAGTTCCCAAGGCCCCAGGGAGAAAGCTTCTTATCTGGGCTGGTTCCAGCAGTTTACAGCATCAGGGAGGCTCCTGAGAGAAGTAGCTCTGCAAAGGCCAGTGGGTGAAGCCCTGACAACTGAGGCCAGTAGTCAGTCTGGTGACCGGTAGATGGGCTCCCCAGAGCCAACCCTATAAATTGACACACTTTCTGCAAAACACACAGCGTTCCTGGCTACATGGGCTAACAGTGGGAGAGTGAGGAGGGTAAAGGTTCATTAACAAGAGATACCACGAAGGGGGAAGGGGCTCATGGGCCCCACCCCCAGCTGAAGAGGTATTGACAATTGATGGCTATTGGACAAGAGATAATTAGTTTTCTTTAAGGGTATATGTAGCCCTGGTAGATCAACCATGTCCCAATGGATGGTCTCACGCTCACACTTATATAGGCGGCACAAATTAGACTCAATTGATTATGAAAGAGCAACAAATTAATTAAATTGTGTTTTAATGTCGAGGACATAAACTTGAAATGGGGGTGGGAGATGGGGTGGATCTGGGAAGAGTTAGAGGGAAGGAACAGGAGGTGAATATGATAAAAATATATTTGTATGCATGTATGAGATTCTCAAAAAGTTAATAAATATCATATTTTTTAAAAAGTGATGCCAGGAGGGGCCATGGTGTCCTTGTAGGACCAGCAGCAACAGCTTCTTGGTAGACAGAGGACCTCTAGAGAGAGGGAGGTTGTTTTTTCTAGGCAAACATAGGCCATGTCTAGGATGAGGTGTACTGGGAATGGAGGTGCTGTCTCCCAGGCCCAGTCATGAGTCTAGGGAAGTTAATTCTTCAATGTCTATGGGTGGCTACATCTGTGGTTCAGCATAGTCAAGGGAATGCTGAGATGGCACATCATTCCTAGGCTGATAGCATCCTAACCCATCCCTCCTCTGACCCTGTTTAATCCCAACCCCCCAAACCTGTCTCTGTGCTTAAAGCTTGGAATATGGCCTGACCCTGCCTTGGGCTAACCGTTGTTGGTAGCCTGTGTCTCAAGAACTGCTGGCCTTGGCCTGCCCCTTCCTCTGGGACCCAGTACCAGGGGTCACAGGAGAATCATGTAGTGATACCAAAGGTAGGATGGGGACCAAGTGGGATGGTGAGAGAGGAGGCTGGGAAAGTAGGCAGGGTTACACAGAGAGGCCCAGAAGTCATGCCCTTCTTCCTTAAAGACGGTGATGAGATGCTTATGGGAACTGAGAGCTGAGTTTCTGAAAGACACGCCCAGTCTTGGCTATGGGGTCAAGGACTGAAACCTCAAGACCCAGCACTGTGCCTTCTAGCTCCTCTCCTGTGGCAGCTGGCAGTCATCGCAGCCGGGCCTCACTCTCAGGCTCGTGGATGCTCCTCCCACCTTCATTTCTGGTCCTGCTCTCCCTCACTTCTACCCTGGAAAATGTCTTAGTTACTCTTTCTCTTGCTGTGATAAACACCATGACCAGAATGACTTGGGGAGGAAAGGGGCTATTTGTCTTACCTGTCCCAATAATGCTACACCACTGGGGGAAGTCGGGGCAGGACCTCAAAGCAGGAACCTGGAGGCAGGAACAGATGCAAAGATCATGATGGAATGCTACTTACTGGCTTGCTTCCCCTAGTCTGCTCAGCCACCTTTCTTAAACTACCCAGGACCACCCCCTTATGGTTGGCATACACTCCCTGGTAGGCTGAACCCTCCCACATCAATCATTATCAAGAAAAGTGCCCCTGTAAGCAATCTGATGGAGACATTGTCTCAACTGAGTTCCTTCTTCCCAGAGACTCTAGCTTTTGTGAAGGTCACAAAATGCTAACTGGGACTGGAGGAGACTGAGTCATGAGGGTGAAGCTCACATTCTAACACAGGCCCTGTGGGCTGCCTCCCCCTTATCTACCATGGGCTACACAGTGAGACACTGTGACCCAGAAGAAGACGTTCTTAGATCCTAACCATGACCAACCTGAGCCTGGATTTCAAGCCTTCAGACCTGGAAGACACTTGTCCACAATGAAGGGGCAGCTGGGGTCCTACCTGTCTTATTACTTATTAAGCAGTTTTAATCTGCTTCAGAATTTGAGGGAAGAAGAATGTTTTATTGGACTGGGAGACCCCAAAATAAAGACCCTCCTTTTTTTTGAGAGAGAGAGAGAGAGAGAGAGAGAGAGAGAGAGAGAGAGAGAGAGAGAGAGAGAGAGAGAGACTACCGCCCATTTTGTCACTTCCGTGCTTTCTGTTAGTCAGCCTGTAGGTGTTTTCACCTGTTGCTGATTTGCAGGGCAGAGGAAAGGACTTCCGCTCCCAATAAGGAGCAGAAGGCAGCTGCATGCAATTCAACGCTTCAGTAAGGAGAGAAAAGACAAGCACATCAGGAAAATCTTATTTGCAAAGAGCCTGGAGAGATGCAGATGTGGGGGAAAGCCAATAAACAAAAATATGTGACAAAGAAGACCCCTCTCCAGGCTAAAGAGGCAGAGGTTTTCTTGGCTTCCTGTAAAGTGCCTGGAAAAGTCAACAGAAGACTAAAAATAGGCAAGGGGAGGGTCTGTGTAAACCTGAGGCCTAGCCTGACACAGATCCATTCCTCATGGATGGAGGCACTCAGCTCTAAACCTAACATCCAGCAGGGGGAAAGGGGGAAACTTCCGTACCCTATAGAGTTCTTTTATGCCAAATGTCTAGTATACATGACACCACCGTGTATGATTTCTCTTGGACATTACCAAGGATCCATCTGGGTCTGACTCTCCAGTGGGTCACAGTTATGCCTGAGTTTTTAAAGTATGGATTCTGGGGATTAGAAAAGGGTGCAATGAAAGAGTCAAGGTTTGAGTGTGTACCCCCTCTGTCACTGGGGGGAAGGGGTAGAGGGAACCTCAGTAGGTTGGAAATCCCAGAATGCAAGGTGCTTACTTTGTACACACCATCCAAAGAAGGCCAGTGTGTCACATCCTGCAAAGCACCCAGCCCCTTTCTCAGACGGGTACCCAGGCAGTGCTATGCTCCATGGAGATAGACCATTTCCTCAAAGACTCTGAGTTGCCCACTGTGGTCAAACTCATAACTTCAGTGTGACTTGCCCTCCTAGTTTGACAAGTCAAAACAGGGTTCCTCAGCAAATGAAGTTTAGTAGAAATTAAGGAATGTTACATTTCTGCACACCCAAGTCTTAGGAGTTTTATATCCACTACCAATACCTAAGCCCAAGAGACTGCTTCTTGTCCCCTGTGGAAGTCAATGACAACAAGTTTTCCTTGGCTCCTGGAGCTGTTTGCTTCAGATCTGGGTGGGGCCCAGAAGCAGTAGTCACAACTCTGTGGAGGAAACTCCTTCGGATTTCTTCCCTGGGGCACAGTCACTGCCGACAAGCCCGCCCAGGGCCTTGGAAAGCCATTCACCTCCAGACTGCTCAGACCACTTCCCAGTGCCCGCTCCCTCTGTCGCCTCTCCTTCACCCAACTTACCCACTTTTTCCTGCTCCAAGAAAGACATTTTGACACTACACATTCCTCCTGTCACCAATAACAGGGGACAGAGGATGAGGGCAGGTCTGTGGTTGCCTACGTGACCTCAGAGCGCTTCGACCATGCAGCCAGCCCTGGGGGGCTTGGGCTGGGTGTCTGCTGCTAATCTGAGGAAACTGGTCCCTGCAGCACCTGGGAATGGCGCCAGGGGTTTGAGAACTCAGAGCATCTATGACCTTCACAGCTGCGCTCCCGACGCTTCTCTGCCCTTGACTAGTCGGGGCTCTTTGAAGGCCAGGCCAGCTAGGGCTAGTTTGAACCCTCACATCTTGTCTGTTTTTGCTGTCCTTCCTCCTGGAGTGTCTCTCCACTTCCCTTCAGCCTTCAGCAGTATTGTGCAGGTCAGAGGCTCACATGGTTCAGGCCAGGAGTACTGATGAGTCCAAAGTAGCGCAATTCAACAGACAGAAATGGACTCCACATCACTCACATTCTCCCAGACACCTCAGACACAACATGCTCCTGGACCCTGTGACACTTCTGTGGGCCCCTCTTTTTCTTGTCTCCCACCCTCAAAGCAGAAAGGACAAAATGGTGTCTCTCCCTCCCCAAGTCATTCTGTGGAGCCCTTGCCCTCTTCCATGCCAACTCCATCTTTATCTCCCCCATTGACTTTGCTGCTGCCCCTCACTTCATGGGCCCCAGCCTTCCCATATACTCCTGGTACAGAGATTGACCTTAGAGCCTGTTCTGGAAGGGGGGATTTGGGCAAAGTCATCGAGGCACTGATGTATCCAGGCCAAACACTCATCCTTGCAAAACCTGCTAAGAAATGACAGGACATGCTGGAGAGAGTACTGAAGACCCAGTGACCCAAGTTTTGACAAGTGACACCTTTATTTCTATAAAGGAGAGAGGAGCAACGCCCATAGTTCTGATTTAGGCAGACTTGGGCCCCTATGGCAAGGAGGTTTGTTCCTTTCTCCCAACACTCTATCCTTTCTATGACCCTCACGTCCATCAATGCGCTGTCCACTGTTCTACCCTCTGTCTCTAACCCCTGCCCCTGCCCTGTGTACGACCGCAATCTCAGCTGTGATCTCAGGGCCCATGTGGACTCTCTGGGTCCCAGCAATGGATTTCCTAGGAGAGGCAGGAATCATAGGCTCAGCTGGTTATTCCTGGATGGGGTGGGGGCTGTGACAGGCTGCTTTAGAGGTCAAGCAAGAGTTCAACATGTGTGTGGTTAGCCTGAGTCATTGGGAAGGCAAGGAAGCTGTCAAGAGGCCTGGGGAGTGGGAAGGAAGTGGATGGTGTTTGTGATACTGAAACTAGCTGGGGGCTTTTGCTTGTTTATTTTTACTTTGTTTTTCTGCTGTGCTTTGAAGGTACAATGTCCTCTAGAGTCTCACACGTTTGAACACTCCATCTCCAGGGCGCACAGGCCTTGAGACAGGAGCTAGCTGAAGGAAGTGGGTCCCTGCGGGCCAGCCCGCTCCTTGACCTCTCTCTGCTTCCTGATGGCAGATGTTATGTGACCAGTCAAATCGAAGGTCTGCTGCAATGTCTCCCTTGGGATGATAGATTATGTCCCTTCTCAAACTACCTGCAAAACGGAGCCTTCCTCTCAGGGTCTTCTTGTCAGTCATAAGGTCAGAAGAACAAGTAACTCACACACATGCCTTACCCCCTATGAAGTGTGGCATTAGAGGCATATGGGTGCGCCTCAGTCAGCAGAGCGATTGTCTAGCAAGCATGGGACACAGGGTTTGGTCTTGAAGACTGCATAGATCAGTGTGCTGTGTACATCTGTGATCTTGGCACTTGGGAGGCGGACAAAAGGATCCGAAGTCCAAGAGCATCCTTGGCTATATACTGAGTTTGAGGCCAGTCTAGAATACCTGAGAATATTGAGGGCTGGTTATCATTACAGGGGCCTTGGCCTCTCCAACTATAGCTTCGAGTATGCACATCAGGCAAGCACTTCTATTCCATGTAGCTTCATCTTTTAAGTTCTTGAAACAGTAAGGCCATGAAAGACTTTTCTTTCCTTCCTTAGAGATCAAATCTGTGCCTTCACTCAACATACGTGAGGGTGTAGACACTCATCCCTGGTCCACTTTTAAGTTCTGGTGTGAGGTACAGAGACTCTCACCGGGCAAGGACTATGCCGTGCCTGGGCCTGTCTGGATCCTAGGAGACACTGCCAGCTGTTTCGGCGCCTCATTCTCTTACCTGTGAGGCAGGACTTAGAGCGTTTCTAGAGAGTGTCTTGAATGTTTATGGAAACAAGCCTTGCTAGTTCTACTCACGTGTAGTGTGTGGGGCACTGTTCTGATTAATTTAATCTTTGCATCTGCTCAGGAAGTAGTTCTATCATATCCATGTGTAAGGAGAAGCAAGCTTAAGGTCTGGGAAAGAGGCATGCAGTGTTTTCAAAGCCACATGACACATTTGTGGCAGAAGTGGGGTCCTAACTCAGGCAGCCTTTGGAGAGCCTGTGTTCAGCTGGCTCAAGCAGAAAGGCAGATATGAGAACCACCCCAAATGCCTACAAGGGTTGCATGGAACACAATTGTGATGCATCAGACCCCAATATTCCAAGAGAAGCTGGTCATCTGGATGTTTATTTACCATTCCCAATGTAAAATGTCAAACCTTTTAAAACTTTCAGTGAGGAAAACATAAAACAAACAACATACCATTAACTCCAGGCCATCTCTAGCTCATGGGTGGTCTGTCCGTGACATTCTAGTGAAGGCCAAGGAAGGTTGGTTTAATCTCAACAACATCCCATAGGTTATGGCTGCCTGGAGAGCAATGTTGAACAGGATTCAGAGTCTGACCTCCATGAGAAAGACTGGCAATCCATTGGCAATGTCTGCTATGGTATAGCCTGGGAGAATTATATCATCTCTGCTATGAGTTTGCTTGAATGGATTAGATACTATACTGGTGAACTAGAGGTTAATCCCATTCATCCTGATTGCACTGGCCTCCGGGTCTGAGAAGAGCCAAAGGTAGTAACAGCCTCAGGAAGATGTCTTGGTCCAGCTCAACCTCCAGCACCAGCATAGGCTCAAGCAGAGGCTCCAGCTCCTTCTCTGTAGCTATCACGCAGGAAGCTCCAGCACATCCGGAAGCGCCAGTTCTAGCAGCTCCTCAGGCTCCCTGAGCCCTTCTCAGTACAGGCTCCACAACAGGCAGCGCTCTGGCTCCAAATCTAAACCACCTGAAAGAGATGAAAAGGAGAGGAAAGGGCGGGGCCCCCCACCTACACCTGCCAAATGGGCATGGGAAGGCCCACCAAGAGTGATCAAGGATAGTCACGGAAATTTTTCTACTTGTGGGAAAATAAGTGATTGACATGCCTGTAGAAAGGATGCTACATCTATCCGAAGGCTATGCATATGTGGAATTTGAGAATCCAGATGAAGCAGAGAAGTAGCCGAAGCACATGGATGGGGGAGGGGCAGCTGATGGCCAAGAGAGCATGGCTACTGCTGTATTGGCCTCCAGCTCGGCCACTCCCTCTGTGATTCTGCTCACCCAGGAGAACACTTCCACTGCCGCCCATGTGGCACAGGTCACCCACACTCATAGTGAGGTCTCGCTCCCCAAGGTACAGGTGCCCCATGCATAGAAGGTCTTCATCTCCCGATCTGCCCACAGGAGCCACCCCAGCTCCAGCTCTCCACAGCAGGGTATCTTCGTAACTTGTGTTCCCTGGCTCAGTTTTGTCCTTTCTCCAGCCAAATGAGGATCTGGAGGGGAGGATCCCTTACCGGGGCAGGCTTTGAAAGAGAGCAAAAGCCTCCTCCCCTACGGGAGGAGTCTGGCTTCAGAGGTATTGTTGATTCAGGACTGCCCTGTAGTTTTCTGGCTAGAAAGCTCACCCCTTCCAGTTCTTGAGAGTCTTGTTGGTAGCAGAGCCAGCTGGGGCAAGCAAGACGCCATATGGCAGCACACGGTTTTCCATAGATGATCTAGGACCAGGCAGGCGACCTGGTCGTGCCCTTGCCGTTTCTTGCTTCTGTGGAAAAGGGACCAAGCTGCTGTTAGGCCTGACCGTGTCCCCTGCAGAGTCCTCTTCAACTTCTAGTGTTAAACACCTTTGAAATGTTCCTCTACTCCACAAACGGTTGTTTTTTCCTATGCCCTGTCTCTGTTTACTCTCTGAAATTGGTGAGCTAGTTCTACAGGGTCCTCGTGGAACCCACCCCCACCCCACTATTGCCTGCCATTCATGGTGATGTTGCAGATTAACCTTGGCATTTACTCTCCGCTTCTTTTTGCTTTTATTATGCAGTCAGCAGTATTAAAATTTGTTTTGTGTTTTATAATTCAGTAGCGTTTTAGATAAGGTTGTGTTTGCACTTGTGTAAAGTGGAAGGATTGTGTTGAATCAACCGAGAATTAAAATGCAAAATAAAATCCCATTCATCCAGACTCTGATTTAGTGTCTCTGCTCCGGCTCTCCTCCAATCCTGTACACCTTCAGATTCAACAACTTTTCGGTGTGCTCCACAGGTTCCAGGGGCCAAGTACGCCACACATTTGAGCATTGTAGCTTCATCTCAGCAGGAATTAGAAGTTCTGCAGTCTCCAATGTTGCCACAAGAACTCTACCCACGCATTTTATGGCTCACCCAGACTTCAATGGTGCCCAGCAAAGGGCCATTGTGCAGTGCGCATTATTTTCACCTGGCAAACGATTCTTCCCCAAGGTGCCTACTGCCTTGCCCTGCTTTAGGCTCCCCTCTGACAAGGGCCTTGACTCTCCACTACAGTCTGCCTTTCTCCATTGGGAAATCCTCAATCTCCTTTCTGTGACAACAATCCTATGTGGTTTGAGCACACCCTTCAGTCCCTCTCCTTGTCCTAATGTATTTTCCCCAACGAAGCCAGTCTTGCCTTGAGCAGTTCTCACATCAGCTACTAACAGAAGACTGAGCTCCAAGACACAAGGGTTTCTGTGAAGTCACACAGAGGCCACTCTTGAGACGCCTCAAATGGGTGCTACTTCAGACATCATGGTGGCTGATTGATATCTTCCCTCGTTGCAGCCCTGTTGGCTGAGTTAGGCTAGCACAAACTCTCCCTGTTTGTGAGATGGTTTTCTTAGCCTTGCAATGAGTTCTCTGGGAACACACCCTACTTGTGCTTCTCCATTGACTCCTTTGCTAGGTTGTTCCAGAGCCCAGGGAGGCTGCCCAGGGCAGAACAGTGTCTGTGCTCTTGGTGCTGTCCCCTCCCTTTGGCTATGCAGCAGGGGCTCTCCATAAGCACTCTGATGATTCTATGCTAGGCACGGCCTCGACCATGAATCTCACCCCACCTCACACTGGCTCCGTGCAGTTGCAAGTTCCCTTTTCTAGCTGTGCTGACACGTGCCCTAGAAAGACAGCACTGTCACCAGGCCTAGGTCTGGCCGTTGATCCTGGGCAAGGTGCAGCACCTTCCTAAGTCCCTGTCTCCATCTAGTAGGCATTTGATTTCTACATCAGGGTGTTGTGAGGAGGGAGTGAGGTGAGATACACGAGCCCTCTGGTTTCATGCATAACCATACCCAGAAAGAAATGTTCAAGGGTCTCCACCCACCCCTGGCAAACTTTCCTTATCGCCCAGATTCTTGCAAAAATCTCCTTTCCCTGTGAATGAGAAAATGCAAAATATAAACATAGACCAATGACTCCAACTTTTGACTTTGAATTTTCAACATTGGTTTTTAAAACATAAGAGAAAAGTAATCTTAGGAATCTGGGCTTTTTTTCTGTACAAAACTTAGACTTTTTGAGAAAGAAAAGAAAAAAGAAGTTTGTTGGATTTCAGAGAGAAACTACATAAGTTGGAGCATAAGATTTATTTCCCAGAAAAATAGGAAAAGGAGGTGGAGGGTGGTGGCGCATGCCACCCAGTACTTTAATCCCAGTACTCGGGAGGCAGAGGCAGGGTAATCTCTGTGAGTTCGAGGTCAGCCTGGTCTACAGATTGAGTTCCAGGACAGCCAGGGCTACATAGAAAAATCCTTGTCTCAAAAAAAAACAAAAAAACAAAAAAAGCAGGGCAGGGGACAGTGTACCATATAGACAAACCCAGTGTGCCAAGGCTCAGGGAGGAGATGGTGACAGAAGGTTGCTATTCTCTGTCCTGCCAAGATGGGTCAGGTTCTAAAAAAAAAAAAAAAGAACTCTTTAGATGAGTTTGGGGAAACATAAAGGCAGGAGAAATTTTCAAACAGATGCCTGATAGGGAAGCCTTGAAAAGAGACTTTGGTGCAAGTTAAGCAGAATGGTGAAGGAATCTCCTATAATCCCGCAGACACTGGGAGGACAGCCCACACTGCCTGTTCCCCTGAGATGAGTACGGCATGAGTGGAACATGGAAGGCCAGGGGCCAAGGTTCATTACCACACAACAAGAAGACACAGTCAACAGTGGCCAGATGGGCTGTGCAAACTACTGGCAGCAGCTACATGAGGATATGCTCAGTCTCATAGACACTGACAACAGTAAGTTCTGTGGTTTCAACGAATGCCAATTGAAATATGTGTTGGTAGTTAAGGCTGAACATTCTATATCTCATTGGAGACCAGCACTGAATGATTGTTGTAGTCAGGATAGGAGAGGCTCTGCTGCAGTAACAAATAAACCCCAAATCTTAGTAGCTCAGTATGTGAAAGTGTTTCCTTTTCATTGTGCTACAATCCATTGTTTGTCTGGGGGTTTTCTGAATAGCCTCCTTCTAAGCAATGACAGAAGGATCCCAGCTCAGGGACTTGAGACACCTCATTCTATGATTCCGTCTGGTTTGTGATGCTTTGTTAAGTAACCCTAGAAAACAAAGATAATTATTTGTTTATATTATAATATATAAATATATGTTTTATATTTATATATAAATATATACAAAATATATTTACATATTATAATTTTGTCTATTATATTATAAATTGTATTATAAATATTGTATCTCTGTATGCTATGAGGAAGCTCAGGCCACATGGGGAGGATATATATATATATATATATATATATATATACATCATCTGTAGTTGAACCAGTTGAATACCCAGGACCACCCACTAGACATCTGAGCCAAGCTGTCTGCAAATAGTTCCAGCCCCAGCTGTCAAGTCACTATTCATCCCATAGCAAATGGCACAAATGAGGCCCAGGCACTATGATGCAAGTAGCTCCTACACGATCTGCAATCATTATAAACAGGTGTCTCACCCCATCACCTTGAGAGGCTTTCTGAAGCAAGAAAGATGTGCTCAGCAGCTAATGGTGTCCAAAGGTAAGTCTGAGCCCAGCTTCTCCATCGCCAGAACAGCCTCTTTCCACTCCCTAGTGCAAGCTCAGCCATCCTTCTGTCTCAGAAGGTGCCAGGTAAGATCTTTGCTGAGTCTTGTCGCTGGGGAAGCAGGGCTGGCACAGACAGGTTAGACTCTAGTTAATCTTGAGGACCACTTTGTGTCGGAGGAAACCATCTCCCTTGCAGACCATCTCTGAGCTTGGAGTATGGGCCAGGATCCTCAACAGGCAGCCTGCTTTTCTGGGTCTGAACTAACTCCGTTCTAGGTCTGAACACCTAGAAAGGGCTAGAAACTGTAGGCTTTGCTTGAATTAGTTCCCATGGTTATTTTGCTGTTGGGTTCAAGTAACATTAGAACTGCTGGGAGGCAGGATATAAGCGGGTGTCTGGTTGCCTAAGTGTAAATTCTAGCTGTATACTTGCTAGTCATGTGACCTTAGGGAGTTGCATAACCTCCCAAGACTGTTTATTCATCTGCAAAATGAGAAAGTAGGAACAGCCAGAGGTCCTCAGGAGCCCAGTCAAGACATTAGCAGGTGAAACATCAAGTAGGGGACAACCCAGCATAGTCAGTCCACAAGTAGGTATCACCTGCATCAGTTTGTTCCCTTTCTTCATTGCAGATGACTTGTCTACCTGGAAGCTTCCTTATGAGGGGGAGGAATCATTTAAAATAAACCTGAGGATGTTGGGCTGTTTCAAAGGTGAATTTTGTTTTGTTTTAAGGATTCCAGACAGACTTAAGGCAGCATTTTTATTAATGGTTTTATTGTTCCAAACAGTCTTTTAAAAAAGTAACTTTGAAGCTCCAAAGGGTTGCAGTTAAGGTCTCTGGTGGAAGTCATCAGAGTAGACAAGTCTTAGGAAGGGATTGAGTTGCCCACTTTGGATTCTGTGGTCACTGTCTCTGAGTGTCTCCCACCAGGCCTAGTCAGGCATGCCTGCCACCCCGAGGGCTTCCAGATAGAGAAGGCAGATAGGGTGACTCAAAGTGAGCCATCATCTCCCGACCCACGCTCCTCAGCCTGCAGGCTGCACCCTGGCAAGCCCCTTCTACCTAGTTCTGCACGGAAGCACAGCTCAGAGCCCTGAGTTGCTCACAGCCTCTTTCCCCAGCACTGGCCAGGAGATAGGACTGCAGCCTGCTTATCTGGATCCGAGCTAATTCCCTCCCTCCCAAGCGACAGCCCGCCCTGCAGCACTTTGTCAGAAGCCATCTCCAGGCTTGCGGCTGGCAGGCTGCATGCTGGCTGCAGGGTCTTCTTTGACCTGCTCCCTAGCCCTGCAGGGCAAGGCTTGTCCAAATATTTGGCTTGATCCTGCTTTCTGATTCACCGTGTGCAGGAACCTCTGTAATTTCATCCACTGCGTGACTCAGAAAAGAGCTGAGCACAAGCTCTGTGCACCCGCAGCTGAAGCCTGCGAGGAAGCCAGACCTGTATTCAGCGCCTACTGTGCCCAACCTGGTCTCCTGGGCTGGGTGAGAGGTGCAGGCGCTCTTCAGCCTGCCTGGCCGGAGATTAAATCTCTTTAGTCTGCGATGATTAATGGAGCTCCAAACACGCCTCAGCATAGGGTGTAAAATGCACTTTGTTCCTTTTCCAAGTCACCCCCCCACACACACACCTCTTTTAAATGCTAAATCTATTTGCATCTCATAAATTATATTGGCTCCAAAATGAAGTGCTCCTGACAGCCCCAGGCAGGGTGTGGGTTCCATGGAAGAGCTGCCCTTGTTGTCGCCTCGCTAGGAGACCCTAGGAAAGATCCTGCTTATCTCCTAAGGGAGGAGGGAGGAGCAGCAGAAAGAGTGACCTAGATTCCAAATCTAAAGACAGGTAGAGCCGGCTCACCCGCCCATCTTCAGCGGCTGCCAGGCTAGGTTTCGGAAGCTGCCTGCAGAAGGAGGCTTCCTTGTGGCCATCTTCTTCCTCAGCAAGTTAAGAAAGAACATACATTGGGCTAGTGGACCCCTAGACCCTCCTGGGTCCTCTTGGTGATACTACCTGGGTGGGAGGTAGGGGGTGACTGACGGCAAGGGCAGACCATTTCTTGTGGAGGTAAGAGCAGGGAGGGGTGTCTGACCAGGGAGAGGGGCATGGAGGTGTCCGGAGACAAACCAGAGGCAGTGGGTTCTCAACGTTCCTCCCCAGATGTGTGGCACTGGGCAACGAGACTTGGTCTATCTGAAGTCGTTTTCTCATCCACACGGTACCTCAACCTGCTTTTCCCGTGTCAGGCCTCCACCCCGGCTGGCCCTGTCTTTGAATTCCAGATAGCGCCCAGTGTACGCGGCTGCATGTGTTCATAGCACCCAGTGCACACGGCTGCATGTGTTCACAGTGCCCAGTGCACACGGCTGCATGTGTTCATAGCGCCCAGTGCACACGGCTGCATGTGTTCATAGCGCCCAGTGCACACGGCTGCATGTGTTCATAGCGCCCAGTGCACAGGGCTGCATGTGTTCATAGCGCCCAGTGTACACGGCTGCATGTATTCACAGTGCGCCAGGCGGTGGCAAACCCTGAAATGACGGAGTGCAGGTCCGAGGGCCCTAAGGCCATCAGTAAGCTAGGCAGAGGCTGGGAAGATGAAGACTACAGAGTAAGGGGTACAGGAGCAGCCAGCAGGGGGGAGGGACCCGCAGAGACCCTGGGCAAGCTGCTGCTGTCATCATCTGACCACTGGCAGTGGGATGAGGATGCTGGAGGGAAGAAGAAAAAAACTGGAAGGAAGGTGACTCGGAAGCCAGAGTGGGTGACATAGCCGCCGTGCTCAGCTGTCATCTTCCCGGCTCTCTATGCTCACCCCACCCCATCCCCCGCCTCCAAGGCACAGGTGGCTTCACCATCCCGAAAGGTCAGCAGGGTGGGGTTTCACAAGCTAGCATTCCAACCCAATCCTACCTCCCCTCCCCCGCCACCACACACAGGGAACACTGCCTGTGGTCAAGCCTCCTGTTCTCCACCAGGACCAGCTGCCCCGGGGAACTCCGACCTATCCAGGGGCATCAGCTGCTGCCAGAGGGGGTGGGGCTGGAGAGGAAGGGGGGAGGCAAGCCTGCCTCTGGCAGCTGTCCCTGCCCAAAGGACCTGAGCCATGCATGGTGAGGGATGGGGGACACTCCAGAAAAGGGAGCTTGAGCCGTTGTGGGCACATGTGCACACACACGAGTGCACGCCCCCCCACACACACACACGTAAAGGCTTTTGTAATCATCCTCACGTGTGACTTTCCATTTCTGTGGTTTAATTTAATGCCACCTGTTGTAAGGAAGGAAGCATGTCCTGGAAGACGTCCTCAGATATGAAGCAGAGGTGCAAAGGGCAGTTCCATGTTTTCGGGCTCTGTGTTCTGTGTCTTTAAGCCCTGGCCAAGGTTCAAGAGGACACCACTGTGGGATCTATTTTGTTAGGGTGCTGGGGATGGAACTCCAGGCCTCACACAGGCTGGGCTATTGCTCTACTACTGAGCTCTACCCAGCATGTCCATGGAAGCTCTCAAGGACAAATGTCTTTGTGACTTATTGACAGAAACCACACGGAGTTTTTATATTCCTCTTACTTTACTTACCTATTTCATTTAATTTTACTGAGTGCCCCCATCTCCTCCCACCCCCCTACTCACCCCATACTAAACAAGTGCTTTACACAGTTCTCTTCTCCACTCTGAATAACCAGGTTTCACACAGTTGCCCAAGCTGACTTTGAATTTGCCTCCTACAGCCTCAGCCTCCCAAGTCCCTCAGCTTGTTCTTAAGGCTCAGAGAGTGGTGGGTGGAGTTTAGCCAAGGCCTCCCCTGGCTCTCCCCCAAGAGGGAGCCTTGCAGACAGGGTATAAAGCCCACACTCAGCACTTTTCACCCTGCCCCTTCCCCTTTCACTTCCGGACACGATTTGGGATCATGCCTGCCTCTTCCAGGGGCACGGTACACCTTCCTCTTCTGGGTGAATGTCCTACAGTGCCAGGTGCCGTGGTCTCGAACAGGGACTCCCTCTGGGTTTCTTCCTTTGTCTCTGTAAGGGAGATGAGGAAACACTGCGGGCTAGGCAGGGCCCAGCTTGGACAGCATGCCACCAGTGTGCAGACTCAGCTGAGAAATACAATCCTGCCCAGGCCTTCTGTGGGCACAGGCAGTGTGCTGAGAGCTGTCAAGTGACAGCAAGGAAGCCAACCTCAGCCTTGGCTGCCGTGCCAGCCAGCCCAGCACCGAACAATTCCTGTAAGCAGAAATCAGGCCTCCCTGCTCAGTCACAAAAGCGGGGCTGCCTTTCAGATGGGGCCGGAGGAGAGTGTTTTAGAAATAAAGGAAGTAACCTTTACATCTTGGGGAAATTTAAAGGTACCCAGAGGCTGAAATCTCCGATTCTGCTGTCCTGAAAGCCTGAGGCTGGCCATGATTCTCTGCCTTTGTTCCCCTCCTTTGTCTTGGCGACATATGCCTGGCCACACTGTACCTGCGGTTTTATTGTCATCCCTTCTGGAGGCGGGCAGGGTATAAATCAGTCAGTGAAAATTTTAAATGTAGCTCTTTGCTCGAGTCTAAGGAGACAAAGAAGAAAAGGGAGCTTAATGAGAGCCACTGGAAGCTTGGGGTTTGTGTGGGGCTTCCAATAAAAGGTAACGCTCACTTTGAGGCCACTCACACCAAAACCAGGGTGGCCTCTGGACTCTGGCCACAGTGATTTGCAACCTCAGGGCCTACAGCCACCAGAGATCATCTGCCCCATGGCCATTTATGGGCCTTGACAGAAAGGGGTAAAAGCCATGGTTAGCAGCTGACAGTGTTGAGTCTCTCCTCCAGAAAAGAGGAAGGTGGATCCAAATAGCCCCTCTAGCTGCTCCTTCTGCCTTCCCCAGGGTCTTCCCCTGGTGCTCAGTGTGTATCTGGTAACACGGGGTCAGGCCTCTTGGGGTCTCCTCTATGCAGCCGTGTCCACCCCCCACTCCTGGGCATGTGGTGTCAGAAGTGGTTGGTCCATGGGTGGAAGGTGGCTGTGGAGGAAGCTGAGCTGAGAGGCTGCTGGGGAGGGCTCGCCCCACTTGTGGAGAGGCTCCAAGGCAGGATTGTAAAATCCTGGCCAAAAGATAGAAAAGGAATGCTTTCTATACTGGAGTCAACTTGTGGAGGGAAAAAAAAACTGCTGTGCTGTGCCAAGCCACCTACCTCCAACCCCTGCACTTATTTGGGAGGGCAGCCACAATGAAAACCTTCAAGTGAAGTCAAGGTCAATGGGCTGTCCTGAGTCATTAGCCATACATAGATTAGTGGGTTAATACAGAGCTGTCTCGACAGATGAATTACACCCAGAAGCTGAGTAGGAGTCCTTGGGCTTGACATTGAAAGGTCCAGTTATCATAGGGAGAGTGATGCCTGCTTAATTTTGATAGGGCTTAATGATTGTGATAAATGTCCTTGGAGTTTAACTCCTTACTGCCATTAGCAGTATGAGCTGGTACACTCATATCTCCCAAAGAGTCACACGTGGTAACTAACCTAAATGGATGGTATGGGAGGACACCTTTGGGAGATGTTTAGGTTCAAACTAGGAGACCATGATGTGTTCGTTAGAATTTTCCTCTTCACCACGTGGAGGTGCAGGAGAAGGTAGCTGTTTTCCAATCAGAAGCCTGATCCCTTCCAGACACAGGATCTGTTGTTAACTTGATCTTGGGATTTTTCACACTATG